ATAAATCAGGTGGTAATCAGGTAGTAATCAGTTTAAAATCGGGTATCTGATTTGTGTCTGATTTTTTATTTTTCGACTTGTGAGTGTCATAGCACTAGCAGGGAACTGGCAGAAAACTAGAAAGGTTCTATTAGTTCACTAGTTCTGGATTACTTTTATACCAGTTTGGATACCAAGTTATTGTATTCAAAGATTTGGCCGAAATTATAAAATAGTGCTAACTATAATTAACCGAATTTACTGTATCTTGGGTTTTGGATACTTCCCTGTCACCAAGAGCAAGACCAAAGGTATTATGCTTATGATGTTTTCAAGGTATATTGATGGGATGTTGTAAGCTCTTCTGAGGCCCGATCATAGTTTAAATACGCTTGTGCTGGTTGAGGCAATAAGTATGTGAAACTTTGGTAATCTAGTTTCGCATGTTTTTAGTCTGTTTGATTGCCAAGAATAAGGCACAAAGTGCCAAATTAGTTTTGGCTATACAGTTTTCATACATTTTTTCTCATATTTTCCTGAGCCTTTCCATCTTCCTGAACCTTTTCTTGCCTATTGCCGGTACTATGCCAAAGCAAAAATTTCTTATCTCTTTTCTATATATTATTCTATCTTGACATAATACCAGATCTATGCTATGTTTTAGGTTTCTAGAACTCTTTCTCACATGGTTGTGGTTGAGGCAATGAGTATGCTAATTTTTTGAGCGTCACAAGCGGCACAAGTTAGTATACGAACCTGTGACAGAACTTGTAACAGGTTTGTTATTTTTCTTGAGATTATTAGGCTATCTTATTTTATTCTTGATTAGTGTCACAAGTATTACAAGTAAAAGAGTAATAAATTCTAGAGAAAAATTAATTTTTTTCTATGACACCCTTTGGAATATATATGTAGTATGCTATAAAAAATAAAAAAAGTTAGAAACTTTGAGCTAATTTTTCCTGTGACACCTGTGACACCCATTGAGAAAGCTTTCTTTTGGCCTAGGATTTTTAAAGAGTCTATTGTTTGCGTCACAAGTTCGAATTCTAACTTGTGACACTTGTGACAACAAAAAATCTGGCCTATTTTACATCCTAATATACCTGAAACTATTTGAGTGGGGTTCACTATATGAACCTATCAGCTAGCTTAGCCAGCTTTTTCCATTGGTAGTGTTCCTTTGCTCTATGATTTTTTGTATGATTATTACAAAAATCATATATAGAATTAGTCTATTTACTGCACCCGGGTTGTTTGCAAAGAACTTGTCTAGAATTCCGATGGATTTTACATCCCTTTGGATGATAGCATCCTCGATTACACACTTCTCCAGTTCTAAAGATATATGGACAATTATAAAATGCCATTTGCATATATTGATTAATAATCTTGAGGAATTAATTTTATTTTAAACTTTTTTCTTATGACTAATATACCTTGAGATTTGGTATAACTATAAATTACCTTAAATTGCTTGATAAAAAATAACCCAATCCGAGCTTTTAGAGAATTTGGACGGCCCCGCCCCATACTATTGTGGGTTAAGAGCTTCCGATGTAGGTCAATGCCTATATAAAATTTGTGATGATAGTGTTAGACCCAGACAATTCCTTGGAGCTGATAATGAGGATGGAATAGAAGCCATACTTTCAGACCATGAAGACCATTCGTTGCATGAATTTATTGATAGCGATGAGCCACTTCGTCCTATCATAGATTTCGATTTGTCAATAGAAACACTAAATGCTATTACTCCTAAGGTTTTGTGTAAAGAAGCCTGTAAAGCTATTCAAATAGCTTTTAGGGATGTTTGTCTAGAAATATATACGGAGTGGGATAAAAAAAGTATAACCATCGCTACTAGTAGTGATGCGAAAAAAATATCTCTCCACATTTCTACTTCTGGTATGAGGCTAAAAAATATCGCTCAGGTTGCCACATTCACTGAACTTGTTCGTAAGAAACTTCTGGTAGAATTGCAAAGAAAAGGTATAATTGATAATATCGCAAATAAGTGATCTTTTTCTCTGAGAATACTTGGTTCACCTAAGTATAAGGAAGAAACAAAAGAACATGTTCGTGTAAAAAAAGCTGTCTATTCAAAAGATGGAACAATCTTTGACTTCATGATTCGCCCACCCAATAATGAATCAGAGGTTATAAAAAGCCCTCTTTTAGATGTTTCAGAAAAATATAAACGGAAGAAAATGCTCCACCATGAGTAATATTACTACTGAAGCTGAATTCGAGTTGGTAGAGACATTACTTAAAGAGGCTATCATTGAAGGCTATAATCTCTCATTTCTGTCAGAAAATTTCTCTGATAAATTTTCATTATCACACATTTCTCCATCATATTGTCCATTATGTGATCAGGAACACACAAGTAATAATGCATATATCATATGAAATAAAAAATCTTATAGCTTTTTCTGTTATTGTGCAAACCAAGAAAAACAGCCTGGCATGAGAAACCCTTTGTTAAAGCTTACCATTAACAAAACAGCTTTAGATAGAAAAAAAAAGCTTCCAAGTCTCGCAAAACTAGACCGATCCAGAATTTCAGATCCCAACGATCACTTTGTATGGGGCGACTTATTGCAAATGTGTACTTCAGGTAAAAAATTCTCTTGTATAGATGTCTACAGAGCGATTCAAGCAACGATTGCCTGTGTTCAAAAGAAAACAAAAACATGGATTCTTAAACATAGAAATCCAAATAGTGAACTTATGTTTGATATGGGGCCTAAACTAGATATTGCAAACTTTACAATTAATATAATAGAACTTGGGGTAAGGTGGTAAAATTAACATCTTTAATCAATTATGCTCTTACTAGTAGTGTAATACATTATGATGATGTTAATTTTCTACCATACCCTCCAAACGTTAATCCACCCCAAACTGAATTCTTTAATCTTTTCTTAGGATTCAAGGCCAAGCCAGCACCCCATATTAATTATAATCTTCTAAAACCCATTGTCTGGCATATAGAAAATATCTGGTGCAATGGAGATAAAAATCTTTCCGAATATGTTCTAAAATGGCTTGCATTCCTAGTTCAGTATCCAAGTACAATTCCTGGGACAATTCTTGTTTTACGATCCCCACCATGATGTAGAAAGAATATTATCACTAATTTTATTCGAAAAAGCTTATTCGGGCTAGACCTTGTATTTTCGACCTCTGATCTTGGAAAGATTCTTGGACGATTTAATAGCCCCATCCAAGCATGAAAACTTATTATTATGAATGAAGTGGAAATGGCTAGTGGTGAGTGGCATAAGGCAAATAATCATTTAAAAGCCCTCATTATAGAAGACTATGTCTCGATTGAGCGTAAAGGCCTTGAATCTCAAGATTGTAATCACTATGCTGAATTTATGATTTTAAGTAATCATGATGCCCCAATTCGAGTAGAAATGGGAGATGAACATATTGTATATTTAGATGTCTCCCCTCTCTTTAAAAGTAATTTCACATATTTTAATCAGTTAGGAGGAATTCTTGAGCACCCTAACATACCAGGATCATTTATAGCATATTTGCTTAATCTTAATCTTTCAGGATGGAAGCCACGTAAAATTCTTTTAACCAAAATGAAGACAGAAACAATGTGAGACCAGCTTCCTAATCCTGTTTGATTTATAATTGACTATATTGCGTCTTGGGGTGAGGATAAAGTAGCCAGCCCAAGTCGTACATCATTATATCAGAAGTATTTTGAATGGTGTGAGAATAATGGTGAAAAGCCATTTTCTAATAATATTACTGGGAAGAAATTTTCGGATATTGGTATTGAGGGCAAACAAGTACGAGCGAGTAGTGGAAAAAGGGAATGAGTATATATTCTTGACCACCCCAAAATCATAGCTAAAATACGTGAAACAGTAGGTGATATCGAAGAATTCTCTAACATACCTCAATCTGACATACCCGAAAATGAGACAACAGATATACCAATATTTAATGTGCCAGAAAACGCTTTTTCAAAAACAGCTCCGTCTCGACCAGAAAAGATTCTTTCATCTAGTGATTAGAAAGTAGATAAACAGGACAATGTAACCCAAGCTCTATTTGACTATCTGGTAGAAGAAACCAAAGCACTAGTTGCTTCAACATCTGGGACTTCCAAAACTTTTAAGACATCTAACCTACCTGAGCCAGAAATCAATGAGCGGTCTCAAAAGGGCCGGCTCGAAACTAGCAAGCTTCCTGAATCTATCGAGCCTATCAGTAAGGTGATAAATGCGCCTTCTAAAGAAACTAATTCTTCCAACCCTATCAATAAAGTACCATCTGCCATACTTCTGAGCAGGGCCCAGCGCAAAGAGCACCTCAGAAAAAGGGCAATCGAACTTGGTGAGGATCCCGATATATTTGTAACTATTACAGAAAAGGACAGGCTCGACTCCATTGCATTCCGTGATAGAATGGAAACTGACGCTCGGATGTGCGGTTATGCAAAAAAGGGAGAAGAAGACCCTAAAGAATATATAGATATGTCAGTGCGGGAAAGATTGATAGAAGAAGAAATAATCTGTTGTGACCTTGAAGATAAGGGGACCACATCCTCCTGGCTCGATACCGATGAGGAGTGGCAAAAAAAATAAGCATACTTCAGGAACGGTATGCTTTAGTAAAGAGTGAATAAGAAGCCGGTTTACAAGTGAGGTATTTGGATAAGAGAGTTCTTTACAATTAGGCAAAATAAAACTCCAAACTATTAATTATTTTTTTCAAATTAAAAAATAACTAGATTAATATAACTAGATAACACTTACTACTGACATGGCTACTAAAACAGCTTCCCCAAAGACCTGAAAACCTAAAGTTAATAACTTTGTATTGGTCTTAGAGCAGTTTCTAGAAAAGTATAATCTGACGGCTGACTCTACCCCAGAACAATTAAACGAACATGCTCCCAAACTCGATGTATTACTTCCTGATTGGATGGCTCGCAGGTGTGTTAAAGTTGCTCTTGCCAGAGGTACTGATAATAGACGCTCATTTAGTGAAGAGCAGATAGAGGCTCTCTTACCAGATAAGAGAAAAGGAAAACTCACCATAGAGGAAAAGGCAAAATATTGCGCTAAAATCGGCGATGCTATGGACATTTTCACCCATCATTTAGATTTAGACCCAAAAAATAATTATGAAAATGAAATAGTCGCCAGTGGTTCACGCTAGTCGCAATTTCATGTGAAATTAGCAGAAGGCGGGGTAAGTCCTAAAATTATTAATATCTATGCCAAAGATCCAAAACTTATTCAAGAGTCTAATAAAATTCAGAAAAAACAAACTAAAAAACGAATGGCTAATCCGGATAGAATTCTAATACATTTCTTGTCAGCAAGAGTGCTTAAAAGGATTCAGAATATGGATGTTTCTAAAATTCCATCTAAAGAAAATCTCGTGGATATAATTGTGATGTGAGTATGAGACCTGCAGAAGTAAGATCTCTTCAAATTTTTCACTATGAACCAGATCCTTTGAATGCTTCAGTATAGTATAAAGAAGGTTATTCTTGGTACTGTACGGGCTATTTAAAAAGTAGAGGAGAAAAGAAAAAGAATCCCGAGCCCTGACCATTTCTTTCTATGAAGAAGAACCCGGAACGCGCAAGGGAATTGCTTACTTGGAATCAAGATGCAATTAAGGTTAAAAAGTTATCTGACCCTGTCTTTACTGGAAATGGAACACGTAACGCTTGGCCATTTAACGAGTTCTTAAAACAAGAACCTTATAGAACCATACCTAAAAAATTAAGAGATTATGGAAGTAAACACGCTTTCAGAATCCATGGTGGTAAGAAACCAACACCCCAACATCTTAAACTGCTTTCAAGAATCACAATGAGGCAAGAATCAGACCACCTTGATACAGGTGATAATTACGCTATAGGCGATACAAAATCAGAGGAGTTTGACTCCGAACCAAAGACAAGCGACAGTTCAAAACCTCAAATACAGGCTTCTTCGTTATCTTAAACAATAGAAATGAATTTAATGTTAGCTGAAATTGATACAATGTTAGCTAAAATTCAGAAATAAATACCAGAAGGGTTAGGTAGTGAGCACTTGTTTAGAGAATTTTCACTAGGCCCTTATGAACGTGAGACTTAAATTGTCCACCGTTTTCCTAATTCTATTCTGAGATTACAATTGAGAGATATTAATATTTTTTTTCTTATAAATTGGCGGTGTCGAAGTGAAATAAAAATCCCGCCTTCTTGTGATTAAATCACTCGAAGCCAGATATATCAGTAGTCCAGATATATCGGTAACCCAGATCTTTTTTCTTGCAAGCTCGAAAAAAAAGGGGTTATTTAGCTTCTCTTGTCCCGCAGATGAGGTCATGTGATTTAACTGCGTCCTGTGTTATGTAGCGGGTATTTTTGCAAATCTAGAATAGATCAATGAATAATTAATTCGCCAACTAATTTCTAGAATGTTCTGGCATAGTACACGTATTATGAATCTTTAAATTAGCATTACGCAAATCAGTCTGATGTCTCTGATCTTAGAATGTGATAAGAATAGAAATTACGCCAGCAATTTACAGATCTGATCCTATGAAATATGATGGGCACTATAGCATCATCCATTCTACATGATAAAATTCCATTATGGGTCATTGGTGAGGTATGAATAGGGGATTAAAATAGCATATAATTACGCAAAAAACATGTGTGATCCCTCCCTATACTAATTAATTTGTGAATAAATGGATCGCCAAGCCCGAAATTAGTTTTTTCTTGATCTATAGATTAAGGGTTTGTTAGTCATGAAGAATAAATAAGCTAAATATAAAGAATTTTGTTATGAAAACTTATCTTGCATTCGGTGTATAAAATTTTTATTATGTCAGAACAAAATAACGCTTCTGCAACCCAAGACAAAATATCTATTACTAATTTTAAAAACCTCGCATTTAATATTCTAAAATATTTCGATAATCCTATTGTTAAAAATGAAAAATTCCCAGAACTAGATAAATGCATATTATGTAATAAAGAAAATTTTTTAAGTCCTATTAAGTCATTCACAATACTAGCTTGCAGTCACGTATTTCATATAATTTGCATCGATAAAGAAATTTTACTTACCAAAGAAAATGTATGTCCTGTTAAAAACTGCAAAAAAAGTATTAAAATTCTTAATTAGTTTTTTAGACGGGATTCGGAATCAAGCACGGCATCAATTGTTAGAAGAATAGAAAAATATAATATTCGAAGTCCTCAAGAAATTCCAGAAGAAGACATGTCAGATGTAGATAATAGAGAAGGTGAAGATAATCTATTTAAAAGCCCCCACAAAAGATCATTCGTGGATACTTCTAAAAATAAATTACTTAGCAAAAAAGCCAAAAAACAGGTTAAGAGAGAGGATTCTCCTACATTGAAAAAATTAATTCAGGAATTGACTTCACCAACCCGCCAACAAGTTGAAGGCCCTATCACTTTGCAGTCGGGTGTCTCTGAGATGGACATAAGCTTGCTTGATTTTCTTGATTTATATAATAAGATTGATACTGCCGAAGACAATCTTCAGAGAACCACCCATGATTTGATTCGATGTTATTATAATTTTGGCCAAGCCATTAAGCAGTTGTTCAATCATTTTAGAAAAAGTTATAATGAGAATGTATCTAATACTCGAGTTAACGATAGAATCAGGGATCAGATTGCTGTACAAGATAAACTTACTGAGACTAATCTTCGAAAAAGAAAGGAAAGAGGTAAAAAGGTTTTCAGGCTCTTTAGTAACATTGGTAGTATAGAAGCGATAGAACAGATAAAGTCTTTTAATGCTACTACAATCTTAAATCTACCCCCAGATGATGTCGATTTTGTTATTGCCAGATTAAATGATAAATAGTACCTATTGCTACATGTATTTCGTGTAACTCTTGATAATAAAGACTTCTTTTAGGAAGGGCTACAGCCATTTTTTATTTTTTATTTTTTATTTGTAAAGTAGTATGACATTAATGTCACGGCTCTCAGAGCCAAAATCATAAAGTTTCCGGTTTTCATTCTTTATGTAAATCGGCATAACCTATATCTCTGTTCCAAAATTTTGCCAGATCTCATTGATTTAGCTGTGACATTAAATGTCACACTTCTCCCAATAAGATTTTGAATAAAAATCTACATGACTAAAGAGAACCTCGAATTAACGATAATAAATTTATCTGCTTAGGCTTATCATTATGTATAACTTACGTTTGTGGAATGTGTAAAAAGTCATTTTTCGAATTAGTACCCAACCCCGATAATCTCATGACACATATTTTTATATACCGGTATTTTTACCTTATGAGGCTTATGTGTAATTTGTTTGTAAACCACAAACATAAATGCTACACATTACAGGTTTGTATATATTATCTTTTCTATTAGTGAAAGATTAGAATAAGAAAAGGCGAAATTATATTGAAAAGTGGAATATCTTTAGAGGTTGGAAGCATGTATTAATTTCTGGAGTTCTAGTTTTAAACGGCGAAAAAGATTGTCATCCCCAACTATAAAAGGTCATAGATGCGCAATGATAATGTAATGTGGAGATCACTATAAGATCACACGATAAATCTGTTTCACATAAAACTCTCCTTTTCCATAATGTAACACTATCTTCATTCAAACCTAAACAAAATGTATAAATATCATGTCCGAGTTGTCTTCTCCTATCTCTACCTTTACTACTGCAACTGAAGACTTATCCATGTTAGCCCATGTGGTCAAAAGGTAGAAAACAAAAGAGCTCATCGATTTCTTACGGAAAGAAGAAGACCTGGATCTTGAGGAGGATGACTTAGGAATCATTAGCAAAGAAAAAATTAATGGCTGTGCCTTTCTAAAGATTACCAAAGAAAAGCTTCGCAATTATGGAATGCCAGGTGGGCCGGCGTTAAATCTGGCGGACTTCGCTAAGGACCTTAGTAAATGGAAGTTAAGAGCATATTCATCATACAAAAGTCTTAAAGAGGTGTTGAAAAAATACGGACTCGATAGTGATGGTACTGAATTAATTCCACTGTTCAAAATAGGTAAGTCTGTTGTCGAAATCATGCATACACTATTATTTGCAGAAATAGTCTAATGTTATCTCTTCTTAGCTAAAGTAACCTGTGAAATTCAAAATTCTGATAAGTATTTCGCACATTGCATGGCAGAAATTATGGACAGGCTGAAAAATTATGGGTCATTGGTTGTGGATAGTTTAGAAGCAATGCGTAATGAATATGTCGTGGCAATTCTCTATACTGCTCTCAATATTGCCAAAGACGATATGCAAAAAAAATTTAATATGAGGCCTTAGTATGAAATTGTTAGAAACGAGAGTACTGGGCGAGTGGATTACGCAATCAAGGTAAGTTTTGTTCCTAAACTATTATACTTCGATTTTCTAAGAGAAACTGATGACTATTTTTCATTACAGGATGCCGAGGACTTGATTTGTATTACAGAGGATAAACAGCACCAGATACCCATGGGTATGGCCCAAAACATCTGCTAGCTTGAGAGTTTATACGAAATGAACAAGAAAAAACGAAAGGCAAGTGATACGTTTGGGAATAATGATGACTTCGACTATTTGTATGGAGTAGTAACAACTGGAAGGGATTGGTTTTTTTTGTTATATAGTCCGGACGAGATCTTACAAGGTAGTAAATTACCATATACTATCGAATTTACTGAAGATGCTTTGAATGAAGAATTCGAGGAATATCAAACATTGCACAAAAGTGTAAGAAGGGTATTGGGAGTAGTTGTGAGTATGTTGAAAGATAGGGTGTGTGTAGATAAGTCTGGTGCGAAAAAGAAAGCACAAATAGAGGATTACTGCTCTAGATAGGATCTAGAATAGGTGTATCATAACTTATTTTTGACAACTGTATTTCTGCATATACTACGCATTATTTTGTAATAAAGCAATCAGTATGATATGCAAACTGGGCTACTGTGATCATTACATCCAAAAAATCAAAATGCCAATACATTTCATTCATAATACAGTAATATTCACTTTTTTGCATGCAGTTTGGTTATATGTACAATGTCTACTGTCTACATATCTCTTTAATGGAAATGTTTTGTGTACTTTTTATATCAAGATTAATAAAGCTGGCCCTGGTGGCTCAATTTCTCATAAATAATCAGTTTACTTTTGCATGTATATTTTGCGAATTTATTTTTTTGTATTTACATTACTTGTGTATGATCGAACAGGTGTGAACGTCCTGAGTGCCCCGAGTTTGTAGATCGTTACACAATTAATTAAAGATTTTTTTTTATACGTTTTACAATACTTTTATTAGAAGCTCGGGTAGATTATCTCCTCTATAAAACAAGGTAGGTTATTAAAGAAACCTGAAGCTCTTACCTTGCCCTACAACATATTCGCTTAATCCAACTTAATCCA